GTTTAAAACCCAATTGGTTTTACTTGATTTGCTTGTCAAAATGTCTATTTACAATTAATTATACCGAAACAGATTGTGTTATGCACCTCTTTAAAGAAATTGACGATTCTCTTAGTATAGAATAGCAATCAACGCAAGGCAAAAAATGTGAGAAACTAGACTTCTAAGCAGTTCTATTGATTTGAGATTTTTCGGATTTATACCCAAAGAGAACAACACTTCCGAAATTACTGTTTAACACCAATTTTCTAGACATATTTGAATGCACCAGCTAATATAGATTTTGACTACCAAAAATTATGAGAATTTGAATATGTAATTAATCAACTGTAAAAATTCTTTACCTAGAGGATCACTATTTTACTTGGTGCACAGGTTTTGTTTTTCTTGATTTTTTTTATTACAGTGACAACTCATCTCTTATTGATATATGTGGGATTGTCAATTCAGAAAGTCACATGGCAACAGTGAATTCACCGATTTAGCTTACAGTGAGCATGCCCTTATGTTGTCGGTATGTGCAATGGACTGTCAAGTCATGTGACTTGGTGCACAGGCATTGCTTTTCTATGTTTTTTGATTACAGTGACAACTCATCTCTTATTGATATATGTGGGATTGTCAATTCAGAAAGTCACATGGCAACAGTGAATTCACTGATTTACCTTACAGTGAGCATGCCCTTATTTTGTCGGTATATGCAGATGGATTGTCAAGTCACGTGACTTGGTACACAGTATTTGCTTTTATCTGTTTTGTCATTCTAGTGACAACTTATACCTTGTTCGTATATGTGGGATTGTGATGCAGAGGCATCTTTCTAAAGCCGTTCATAACCAACTATTTAAACGACTAAAGGTGAAGACACAACCTTACAACGCATTTCGCCCTACGAAATTATCATTCATTTGTTTAAAAAAATTAGCATGGCTACACGATTCGTGGGAGGGAGTGGGAATCGCAGAGGTGGTAGGAACTTGCAAAGGGGTGACAGTTCACGACGAGGAGGGGGAAGGGGACGTGGCGATGCTGAAGACGAAACAACAATACTTGTTTTAGATTATGGTTGTGGTTATTGTGATAGGTTTGGGAAGCAACATTTTTTGATGCCCAAGTATTATCGAGTTCAAGGAGGTTCATGTATAGACCCATCTGACAATCAAACAGGATATGATTTATCTGACGCTGCTCGCCTCAAGTGGCCCGCACTATTTATAGAGCGGGTACAGCTGGAAACCTTAAGTCGGGAAAATCAACTTAAGGTGCCAAAAGCACGTTCTGTTGAGATCCAAAAGGAAGATCCTGATAATGTTGATTGACTATGTGAAAGACTACAACGTGAGATTTCTCAAATGCGCCGTAGGTTAGCCCGCGATATGCAACTATACATAGTTAAGAAGGATGCCTAGAAAAACAGAACAAAACCAAATGTTGCGGCTATCAAGGGTATCATGGAGGATCCTGAACTTGTCTCTGCCGCTGAGCTTTCGGATTATTCAGACTCTGAGTTTGCCGATTTAAGCACGAATTAGGTGTTAATGTCTACACTTCGGCAATATTAGGTCATGCATTAATATGTAATGTCTGTGTTAGACTAAGTGTTTCCGTAATGAGTTTGTCAGATTGTCTGCCTAATAGTTGTCTGTCTAACTGTTATGTTTATGTATTGTGTGTTCAGTTCATGGTGTCCAGAATGTATATATGTGGGAGACTTATGTCTGTACTACCTATGTAACTAGAAACTGTTACATTTGCAACTTCAGTTATTTTGTTTTCATGCCTGTATGAGTATTTAGTAAATTAGTGACTTCGTATATTATGTATTAAGTTTTATTACAAAAATGTTGACAAAATTTATTTTAGGAGAAATACACATTCTCTTAACTTGTTCATCTTCTCAATCGTGACAACCCAAAAATGTAATCATTATTCATTGAATATAACAAATAACATTCTCATTCTTAAAAAAAATACACTACCAATTAAATAAAACAAATAATCTTTCCATTCATTCATTCATTGCACAACATCAGTCTTATGAAATAAGCAAAACCAATTGAATCACAATAACATCAACTCCAACCCAATATTTACATTACATAAGTTCCTGTTCGTAATCGGAATTCAAATTACATACAAGTTACATTACATAGCAAAAAATGAAAAAAGTACCATTCGTATGTAAAAAATACATCACCAAAATTTGAGGCCTTTCTCTTCTTCCTTCTTGCTGCAGCTCTCACGGTGGCCTTCGTCTTCTTGGTCTACTCCGAGGTGTTCTTCGCGTCTCACCCTTCGTCGTTGTTCGTCGAACTGCACAGTGTCTGGGTGTGCTTCGAACTGTAGACCATTTATATCACATTCTAACCCAAAACAAAGAGGAAAGAATTTTTTTTTTTTTAATGAAAACGGCTAGAAAACGGTTTTACTAAACCGGTTTTCTGAATTTCATTATCACCTTCTAACCCAAAACAAAGACAAAAGAAAAAAAATATATTTAAATGAAAACGACTTTAGTAAAGCCAAAATAAATTTCTGAATAACACTTTCTAACCCAAAACAAAGACAAAAGAAAAAAAAGAAAATTTTGCATGAAAACGGCTTTAGTAAAGCCAAAAAAAAATTTCTGAATTACATTATCACCTTCTAACGCAAAACAAAGACAAAAGAAAAAAAAATTTACATGAAAACGGCTTTAGTAAAGCCAAAAAAAATTCCTGAATTACACATTCTAACCCAAAACAAAGACAAAAGAAAAAAAAAATTTTTAACATGAGAACGGCTTTAGAAAAGCCAAAAAAAAATTTATAAATTACATTATCACCAAAATAATGACAATAGAAAAAAAAAATTTTAAAAAATTAATAAAGTAAAATAAAATAAAAATTTAAATGAATAGTAAAAGCGTGGTTTCAATCCACGCTTAGTGTAGTGAACAGTGAAAGCGTGGTTACAATCCACGCTTATTGTAGCGAACAGTGAAAGCGCGATTCACAATCACGTTTTCTTCAAAAAACAAACTTATATTGTATGCACAGTGAAATCGTGGTTTGGAACCATGTTTTCTTCAGAAAACAAATTTATGTTAAAAGCGTGGTTTGTAACCACGCTTTCTTAATTAAAAGCATGGTTTGTAATAGCACTTTCACTATTCATCAAATTTTCTGCTCCACACAGTGAAAGCATGATTTGTAATAGCGCTTTAGCCTAGTTTGGGAAATCCGTCCAAACTAGGCCTAGTTTGGGAATTAAGATAGTAAATTGGCTTAATATGGGAAAAGCCTCAAATTTTTGCCCTCTCAAAACATGAAATTAGCACATGCATGCAAAACCCTATTTATGCTTAAAACATGTCCAATGGTTGACACTAAAATAGTAAGGGTCGACACCAGAGTGAAGCTCAAAATGCTTAAGTGTTCCAGCTGCAAGGGTCGACACCAAGACAGAAAGGGTTGACACTAAATTTTGGAATGCAATCTATTAGCAAGGGTCGACACCAAGAACAGAAAGGGTCAACACTAAATTTTAGAATGAAGCAATATAATTTCATTGCGTCAATAAAAGAACTCCCAAGCCACGTCAAAAAAGAGATCAGAGAAAGTAATTTCCGAATCGCAACCACCATAATCCTCTGCATATCCATGTCAATCTTCATCTTCATCTTCATCTTCATCCTTAGTGTGCTCATTAACCATCGTGTTCGAAAATTCTTAGTCTCTAACGATCTCTACTTTTCTCCTATCACCACTACACTCTCTCATGCAACTGCTCTTCATCATCTTTAACAAGGAATGGTGGGTTGAGAAAGTGGATAGCTCCTTCATAAATGTGGCTGTGAGAATATATATTGTATAAATGGTATATTAGGAATTAGGCAATTTTAGGCAATTCCCTTTTCTTTGTATTTCCTTTTTCTGTCATAGATTAGAGCTATATAACTGATGTACTCTTTGTAAACATACACAATTGAATATACAAAAAAGCTCTAGGGAATCTTACATGGTATCAGAGCCTTCTCTGAGCCGAAACCCTAGAAGTTGATTGTGTCATCTTTTTCATTAGAATCTCGCTGAGTCGTAATCATAGGTGTTCTTCTTCATCACAATCGTCTCTCAGAAATCAGCCCTTTGGTTTTATCCCTCTGAGTCGCAGGTCGTAGAGTACCAAAATCGCGAGTGGTATTCACGAAGTTCTCTCTCTGTGTGGTCGTGTTCACCAAGTTCGAAGCTTTTTGATCAAAGTTCTTTGATTGACCAAAGTTCTCATATACGACTTCGACTTTTGGGCTGGAATCACGAGCCATCTTCAGGTTCTCTTGGCATCAATCTCTCTCTCTCTCTTCTTTGGTTTGGTTCTCTCAGATTTAGTTCTCCATCAGACTGCTTCCTTCGGCTTCAAGAACACTGGTTATTATATTTTACGCTTAGACCAAAACTATTTGGGTCTATTACACTGTGATTTTGGATTTATTTTGTTTTGTCCCATCAGATGTTTGTGTATTACCCTTCGACCCCTAGTTTGGTTATTTTAGGATTTATTACACTTGAACCCCTCAACTTTTAGATTATTATGATATATCTAGCTTCAGATGAGTGTGCTTTTTGTCTTCAGAAGGGCCGTTGGAAGTATCACTGTCCTAAAAAGGCACGTCTGCCTACCACGTCTTCTCAGTAGTCTCAAACCCAGTCCCGAGCTCCTCCTCTGAGTACTTTTCGTCCCTCTGTCAGTACCATTGCATTTGCTCCAATTCCTAATCCTGACTTAGCTTCCTTGAGGGCTCAGATTAGTCAACTTCAATATATGCTGTCTACCTCCCAACCCTCTCCGTCTGCTTTAGTTGTTTCATCTCTTCATTCAGCTTTTCTTAGTTCTTCTTCTGGTATCTCTTCGTTTGTCTGGCTTTTTGACTCTAGTGTCTCTCATCATATGACTCCTCATCTCTCTTTACTTCAGAATTGTACTCTCTATCTCTTTCTTATTACTATTAATGCTGTTAACAGGTCTGGTATTTCAGTTATATCTGTTGGGTCTGTCTTACCGTCTGCTATGTCTGCAGTCTCTATTCCATCTGTCTTATATGTTCCTCAGTTATCTACCAGTTTATTATCTATTAGTCAACTTAATGCCTTTAGTTTTGATGTTATATTTTCTTTTTCCATCTGTTCTGTGTAGGATCGGATGTCCAAGCAGCAGATTGGGACTGGCCATAGAGTTGGAGCCCTCTAAGTGATGGAGAGCTTGCATTTGCCTACGACTACCTCTCCGACTGCCTATTTCCTAATATAGCAAATATAAAATATATATACAATATATATACAACATTTGTAGCCTGGCTTTATCTCGCTTCCTTTTGTCTTCTCGGCTTTGCAACTTCCGGACTTCTTCACCAAGACTTACATTTCCGCTCGGTTTCAGTTTATTCTTAGCAGACTCTCAATGTTTTCTGCTAAAACACTTTGAGTAGCAAACACTTTGAGTTTGAGCGGGGGTGTGAGAAAGTATATTGTATATATGGTATATTACGAATTAGGCAATTCCCTTTTCTTTGGATTTCCTTTTTCTGTCATAGATTAGGACTATATAACTAATGCACTCTTTGTAAATATACACAATTGAATATACAGAAAAGCTTTCAGGAATCTTACAGTGGCATTCCATGACCGATGAAGAGCTGTTGTAGTGGGCTTCAATGGTGCCAAGCATTGCAAAGTTTCCTTACAACTGTACTCCAAAGGTGGCATTCATGTTCTTGACAAGGGGGAGATTGCCATTGGCACCACTTTGGGAGATGTTTTTCAAAGATCATTAAGGGTTCTTCTCCATATACCTCCATACTTCGCCTGAGTTCACTAAGGAGGCACTAGAGTCTTCAGTCTTTTACAAGCAAAGAATACCCAGTAAGGTAAGATCAAAGAGTTGGCCTAGTGGCTGAGGTGACTATACGTGATGTCTAGGTTCAAGATATGTAGTTACGAGAAAAATAAAAAATTAAAAAAGAATGCCAAGGTTAGAATTAAGGGTAAATAACAGATCAGTGGTGCCTAGAAGAAATAATTACAGATAAGTAATAATTATTATAAATATGAATAATTAAAATCATAAATTTTTTGATGAATTTATAATAAATTTTAAAAATTATAATTTCCCATAGAATTAACGGTAAAATAGAAATTGGCATTGTAGCCCCAAAATCTATATAGTTTTAATTTTGCCTCTCTAAAATTTAAATAATTTTATCTTAGGCTCTCGTTGGAAAACTTCTGTGTTCGTTACTAAATACCCTCAACTACTTTCCCAAACTCCCAGTTCATATTTGTTTGAACACCCTGTATTTTGAGATATTAATATTTAGTGAATGGTATTGGTGGTTTATTATAATAATTTAGTGGTGAGATTTTTAGATAAGAATTTAATTTTAAATTATTTATTTGTATTTATCTCATCTCTTTTATATCTATCATATTGTTATTTATTCTCATTTAATAATAAATCAATTTTTCTTACCATTCCCCATCACGTGAAAAAAAAAAAACTACAATAACAACAAACCGTGGGCAACACCCATAGTATCCCTAAACCCACCATTTTATCATTTCATCTTTTCATTTATTTTAATTTTTTAATCTTCTTTCTCTCCTTTATTTCTTCTATAAATGAACTGAGTGAAGAGAGCTCCTCATATTCCCTTCTTCTTCTTCATTCATTCTCTGCATCTGCTCTCCCCTTCTCATAGATTGTGTAGAGTAGAAATATTAAGTTTAGATATGGGAGTGTTTAGAGAGAAAATGAGTATTTTATAAATAAATAAAAAAATTGAGAGTTGTAGATTTTATTAAATCATACATACTTTATGTCTTAAAAGTTTAATCAGAATTACTTTTAGAGATCCATGGAGTAATTTTAGATTTATGGTGACAGAGTTAATTATTTTGAGGTAAATTCGGGTTGTATACAATATGCTCTATTTAAATCTCTTTGTAAAGAGTTCTCCATTTTTAATTATCCTCAATTTGTAATCTACTTGATTATTGTGGTTATTAATAGATTTTGTAAAATCATTTGTTGTCGAATCGTTGATATTTTGATCATTTGGTAAAATTCTCTATAAATATTTCTGTGTTAAAATGGTGATACTCCGTACATGGATTGAGTGAATTTTGTTAATTTGTTTACACCAACATGCCCGAATAAGCGTGGAGTTCGGGTGAGGTGGGTGAATAAATGAATTTGTTCGCTGGTCATGTACTGAGTATGATCGGGTATTTGGTCCTAGATAAATGATGGTTGATTTGTTGTGCAATTTGGTAAATTGCTTGATTATCGTATCATTGATTTAATGTCATAAATTGTTGGATTCCTGATAAATTATTTTGTATCCAAGCCTTGTATTCTTGTCATATTGTATACTTCCTGAATTAATTTATTTTTCAGGTGCGGAGCAGATTTTAGCAGAGATTGAAATTGAGATTAGAAAGATTTATTAATATAAAGATATGGGACCCACAACTGTAATTATTAAATTTGGAGATATTTGTAATATTGTTTATTTCGGAGATAAATGTACTCTAGAATATTTTGGAGAATACGGTACAATTTGGAGACAATTTTGTAGTTATTATTTTTTGGAGCAAAACTTGTATTTTTTTATAGCTATTTTAGTGTATTTAACAACCTGGAAGTTGGGTGTTACAGAATCAAACTAACTAATTTGATATATATTTTAAACGTTACTTGTATGTAATCGACATAATTATATATAGAATAAAAAAGAGTAATGTTAGACATCATAAAATATAATAAAAAGTTTCATAAAAATTCTCCATCTTTGAATTACACACACTATAAAACACTGCACACTACTTAAAGGAAGGAAAATTTTTATGAAACATTTCATTATCTTTCTTTCATAATACCTAGCATATTCAAAAAAATGCTATGAAAACCATAAAATTGAAGGTTCCACAACATTCTCTATTTTGTGCACATTTTTTGTGTTTTAATTCCTTATAAGTAGCAAAAACTCATTTATATTTTGTGTGTTTTGGACTTGTGTTTGCAGCCAGTGCAATAGGGAAGGGCAACCATGATCGATGCAGAGCGAAGCTTACTAGCCAATGCCCTCCCTGATTTTTCCAATGAGAGATTTATATTGCTCTCAGAAACCTGCATTCCCTTGTTCAACTTCACCACCACCTACACGTGCCTCCTCAACTCCAACCACAACTTTTTGCGCTTCTTTGATGATCCATGACGCATGGATCGAGGCAGATACAATAAGAGAATGTGGCCAGCCATTTCACTCTCCGATTGGTGCAAAGGTTCACAATGGTTTGAAGTTCATTGAAAGCTTGCAATCCAAGTAATATCTAATGTAAAATACTAACCAGTATTCAAAGATCATTGCAAACCACCTTGTTACATGGACGAGCACTACTTGCCAACTCTAGTCACCATGGTTTGCCTTGAACTCACATCGAATAGAACCAATACTTGGGCTGATTGGTCTGGAGGTGGCTCGCACCCTACAAAGTTTGTAAGAAAGGATGTGACAGAAGGCTTCTTGAATCGGGTTAGACATGGGTTTAATTGTAATTATAATGGTGGTGATATGAGCTCCATTTGTTTTCTTTTTGTGAGGAAATTTCATCCAAACACCCTACAATCTTTGTTACAGATGGCCCTGACGCTACTTGGATTTAATTCTTCTAGTGTATGAAACTCCTACTAAAATAGAATCTCGAGAGAGCAAGACGTAATGCCTGTATTTATTTACTAATTAGCCAACGGGGTTTTGGAAGGCCAAGAGATTCACAAAGTGAAGAGGACGATATAAGGTATAGGAAATAGGGGCAAAACGGACAATTGACATTCTGTTCATGAGGGAACATTATCCTATACAAATTTACATGGCACTGGGAAGATAGATAATAGGTACAATTTTTTTTTTTATTTATTTATTTTTGATCTGGAAAAAAGGATGTTCTGAGGTGTCATCACTACATCCGTAGGCCCAAGCCCCGGGGTAACCGGTTGCCAGCCTGATTTAACCCAACCCATAGGAAAGGACCCACCACCGATGCACCAGTGGAGCTCATCAACTGCCCCAGCCATGGACAAGTTTCGATCGGAGTATAGCGCGAGGTCTCCGAAGAGAGCCCCTGGAAAATCCAGGATTTTCGCGCCTCCCAAGAGTTAAACTTGACTCATGGCTGTGGGAAGACAATACCTTCACCACTGGGCCACCACCCTCGGTGGTGATAATAGGTACAATTGAAAACATACCTTTTACCAAAGCTAGAAGTCAAGGATTGGGTTGTAATGCAAATACTACATCTTATTATCAAGGCAAATTATATGATTTTTCTTTTATTTTGTTCCTTATGTTATTTTAGTTTTTATAATTTTAATTAGTGTATTTTGAATTTTAATTTAAAATTTGTATTAATTTGGTTTAATTGATAATGCTAATTAAGATTGTTGAAGAAAAATAGTTATTGAATTGATCGAGATTAACTGATTAAGTTAAATAAATTTATAATTTTATCTATAAAAGCATAACGTATGCTGCTTATGCGCTGAGGCTCTATATTAAAAAAAAAAACTAACAATTATAATCAATTGGATCAAATTAACATAAAATCATTAATTTATAGTCAAAATTGAATAAGTTAAAATTACAAAAACCAAAATGATACAAGAATTAAAAAATAAGGAATGCGAGTATCATTTACTTATTTATCTATGAGAAATTTATTAGGAAATCCTTATCAAGTACTTTTATCCTAATTAGTCCGTAACATATTCTTATATTCTAATAAGTAGTATACATTTGATCTACAAAATTTTAATTCTCATAATTAACATATTTTATAGACAATTTTACCCTTATAAATATTTTTTGAACTGTTAACAACTTGGTTGTGTGAACATAATATTTTACAGTGTGAATATTTATATTACAGTGTGAATGTTCACATAACTAAATATTCATACTGTCAATATAAATATTATTATTAGACGTATTTTGATAATTATATCATTCATTTATAAACAATAATGGGCAAATTACAAACACCCCCCTCGAGATTTGGTGAAAATACAGATTTCCTCCTGAGGTTTGAGAAATTACAAATTATCCTCTGAGAGTCAAATTTGCATAACAAATTAGGGGGAATCTGTATGAAAATATAAATCTCAGGGTACAATTTGTTATGAAAATATAAATT